GGGTACCGTATTTTGGGGTCCTCATACTAAGGCTCCTACTATTTGGGGTACCATATCAGGGTCCCCTATTTTCGGAAACTCCCATGTGCAGACAGGGGAGTTTGGGGTTTGCAGCAAAAGGGAGAGGCGGCACGGGGTTTAGGGAGTACCTTCTGTGGGGCCCTGTTCATAAGGATCACAGACGCAGAGGTAAACAAGTGCAACAGACGTGGGAGTTGCAGAAAAGTAGGGTGCCTTATGTGGGGTCCTTATGAAAGGCATCCTACGATTCAAGGTACTATATGAGGTTCCTTGGTTTTTAAACAGAACTCCCACCGGGCTCAAGGAAGGCTTGGCTGAACAGCAGACGGACAGATGCATTACGTGGATAGGTGAACATGAGGATGAGAGCTGTGCCTGTACATGCAGAAGCAGATTGCTGCAGACACCCTAAACCCTAAACCCTAAACCGAAGCAGATTGCTGCGGATGGGTCCGCATTGGCATGACATGTCGAGCAGTGAACTTGCAGTCCAGACTCGGTTTCAGACTTTTCCCGGCGAAAGCAAGGGAGAATCCTTGGCGTGAACTAATATGGGAGTTTCCGAAAATAAGGGGTGCCTCCTTATTTTTGGGTCCTTATAATAAGGACCCTATTATTCAGGGTACTATTTTGGGGTCCCTATTTTCGGAAACCCCCATATGGCTGTCGGAAGAATGGGCAGCAGTATCTCCTTGCCGTTCGTCCTGCTCAGCATCTCCTTGAGAGCATGATTTTGGTTTGCTCTCTTAAGTCTACTTGGAGGTTCATGGGTAGTTATAAGTGGGGCTATAAGTCCCCTAAGTGGTTACAAGTATAGCTACCCTAGTTCTAACCCTACTTATAACTACCCATGAACCTCCAAGTAGGGTTTGGGGTGGGGTTTGGGGTTTAGTCCGTAGCGCTGTCCTGGCGTGACGTTGCTGCAAGCCAGTTGAAACAAGGCCGTAGAGTTTTAAGGTATTCGAGCCGTGGGTTGCAGGCATAATCATTTACCTGCCCGCTACTGCCCCAAATATGGACCTAGATTACAACTATCCCAAACCCAAGTCCTAAAGCCTTGCAGGCAGACTTCACGCCAATCCACGCATCCCCGAAGAGCCCTTTTGTTGACATCGACGCCCTCGCCGACTTGGAAGTTACCCCCCAGGCAGGATCCAAGTCGATGATTATTTAGGGTTTAGGGTTTCGGGGTTTAGGAGTTTAGGGTTTAGGGTGAAGGGATTCACGGCTTAGTGCATTGCAGTCCCTGCTCAAAAAAAGGGTTTAGGGTTTAGGGTTTAGGGGGAAGGGATTAAAGGCGTTTACGGTTTAGGGTTTAGGGGTTTAGGGGTTTAGGGTTAAGGGTGAAGGGATTCAGGGCTTAGTGCATTGCAGTCCCTGCTCAAGAAAAGGGTTTAGGGTTTAGGGGTTTAAGGTTTGGGGTGAGGGGATTTAGGGCTTAGTGCATTGCAGTCCCTGCTCAAAGAAAGGGTTTAGGGTTTAGGTGTTTAGGGTTTAGGCAATTAAGGTGGGGGCCGGAATAATTCGAATAAGAGGGATTTTGGGGTGCATTAGACTATGACTATGAGCAGGGTTCTGGGAAATATTCTGCTATGAATAGGGTTTCGGGGTACACGGTGTTATAATTGTATCAAGTAACCTTAATAAGAGCTGTTGCAATTCTTCAGGCCCCTGCATGACTTGCAATCCGCGACGCACTGCATGTCCCGCAGCTGGAAAGCACGCTCTGCGACATTGCCCCTGCATGTCCCACACTTGCAAAACCAATCTCCTAACTGGTTTTTCCTGGCTTGTCCGAGTTGCGAGAGTGTAACTGGTTTTTGGTACCCCTCTGCCCCAACCCCTGAACGAGGAAAGCGACAAGGACAAGAAGAAGAGAGAGGCTGAGAACAGACATGGCCATGCACTGATGCCATGTGCCTCACAGATGCCCTGCATAAGAGACGATGGTGTGTTCGTGACGCTCAGGAGAAGTGCGAAGAATTGAAGGAGTTCCTCGGTTCTGTCAGATAAAGCGGTTCAGGTTTTAGGGTTTAGGGTTCTTGCCTTAAGACGGGGTGAGGGTTGCATGGGCGCTGGCCGGCATCTCAGTCCTTGCTGAAAAGGGTTTAGGGTTTAGGGTCGGAATGGTTTAATGCATGGTATCCGCCGATGTCCCAGAACGACGGTGGCCTCGCGGCCAGGCGTGAAAGGGTGCCGGATGCACTGGCAGGGAGACCCTAATCCCGGGTTTAGGGTTTAGGGTTAAAGCCCCTTCAAACCTAAACCCTGAACCCTAAACCCTTAACCCTAAGCCCTAAACCCTGAACCCTAAACCCTTAGAGTGTATCACGCCGGCTTCCGACTAGGGATCCTCGGTTGGCATGTCCGAGTCCTGAGAGCGTAAACCCTCAGAGGTGGGGCGGCAAAGCTTCCCTGGCCACTTTGCTGTCGCAGCGTGGATGCATCGCAGCCGTGGGTTTGCGTTTGGGTTGAGGGTTTTGGGTCGAGGGGATCTGGCTAGTCCCCAAGCCCAGTAGCAGAAAAAGGTTTTGTGTTTAGGTTTTATGCTTCGCCGACACCGCATGGGCGTCTTACTAGGCACTGGGCTGCAGAACCGCTTCGAAACAGGCTTTCACACCAGAATGTTGGAATATACAGGAGCCTGAATAATGACCAGTAGTGCTCCACAGGCTTCCTTGTTCGAAGTACCGCCGAATATACCCCAATACACTCAAACCCTAACCCCTAAACCTTAAACCCTAAACCCTAATCCCTAAACCCGCAAAGCACCTCTCTGTGCTGTTCTATGTCGGAAAGTTCCAAGCTGTGAGCCAAAGTCGGCTGAGGCTGACGACGTGCAAGGAGAAGTTTGTCCTGGCTCCTTGGGTTTAGGGTTTTTAGGGTTTTTAGGGTTTTTAGGGTTCAGGGGATCAGGGTTCAGGGTTTTAGGGTTTAGGGTTCAGGGTTTTTAGGGTTTTGGGGTTTAGGGTTCAGGTTTTTTTAGGGTTTTGGGGTTTAGGGTTCAGGCTTTTGGG